GAGAAATCACCCATCAGAGAGAATAGCCATGCCACAATTCCTTTTCCTCATTCTCCTCTTGGGATTTTGGGCATTTTGGGCATGCATGCCCATGTGCTCAGCATGAGTTTCAAGCTGCCGGGTTCCGGACTTGAACCATGGTTAGCCATGTGGGAGCCCAGTACCTTAACCACCATACACACCACCAGCTGGCCCTGAGTTTTCTTATTTTTAACTGGAATTCACTTGTGATAGAGAAATATCTCAGCTGTGATGTCTATAGGAAACAGACAGTACTTATATTTTGTTACTGTTTCTCCTTTTAAAAACTAAAATAGTTTTCTCATTTCATTACATTGTTACAGAGTAGAGTATTCTGGGTTAACAGAAAGTTACCATCACTTTCAACCAAATATAGCAGATAGGTGTAATTTTGCCTTTGCTGCTGAGAACCTGAGAGGACTCTCCAATGTCATGACCATATTCTGGATATAGCTGACATGCAGACTGATAGATGGTGTTGCCTACTATCATACAACATAAATTTAGTATATGAAAGTATAGTGTTAGCTATGATGAAGGGCTTTTTGTACATGACTTTTATTTTCCCTTGATGAATGATTTATTAGTATTTTTGACTCCAAAAATAAAGTTGACTATTGAAAAATTTAGGTATGGTCAGTATTTTTTATTTTTTATACACACACAATTTAAAAACAGCTGTGACCCTAGTACAGTGATATAATACATTCTGTTTCACAGGTTGCTTTTATGCATACAGTAGGTATTTTCTCACATTAGTGAATGTATCTCTATCTTATTCGCTCTAGTGTCTAAGTGAGTCCACTGTGTGAGTGTTCCATAAGTTATTTGAGCAGCTTCCTTTTAATGGACATTGAGATACAGTTCTTATATTTCTTTACATTAGTGTCTGTGTATGTTTTCCATGTAGTCTTTCAGTCTGTGATTTGTAAGGCAAACTGATTTTATGTTTGTTTTACATTTTTTGTATCCCACAAAATTTTATGATAAACTGAAAACTCTACTATAAAATTAAGTTAACAGGCCAGCAGGCAGCATGGCCATTGGGATGCTGGACTCTCACATGGCTGGCTGACCACGGTTTGGGTCCTGGACTTCGCGGCTTGTTTTCTCACTTTCTTTCTCTCTTGCCCTAAAGCAAATTAAAATAATAATAATCAATAACATTTTAAAAGGTAAGTTAACATTTTAAGAGAAAAATTTCAAATAAAAAAGCAAACATTTATAACAAGTGAGTAGTAGAGAATAATGTGACATTTTATTAAACTGTAGAAATCTTTCTTAGAAGTCATTATGTGCTATAAGAGCTGCTCTTTTCTTACGTGAATATACTACAGATATATTTCAATATCATATCATATTCCCTTTAGTGTTATATATACAAATATATATGTATACCATATATACATACATATATATGTATGTGTGTGTGTGTCTATATCTATATCTGTATATATGTTTATCCTATTATTCAGTCTATGTACGATGTAATAAAATGCACTTCCACTGGGGCCAACATGAATCCCCAAGGAGCACATGGGTCGGAGTCCTTACCCTTGGCACAGCTGTTCCATCCTGTTCCCTCAGAACCTCTTCAGACACCAGCTTTAGTTATCTTTCTCTCGGTGATCCTCTAGTGTATCAGACTCACTGGACCTGTGTGTAGCTTGACCAGTATCACTGCACTTATTTTTCCTTGAACATGTTGAATAAGACGCAAATTATGTATCAGTGCAGGTCATGCAATACATAATAATAATTCCCAGAAAGGTCAGCCGTCGGCACTTGTCTGCCCTGCGGCTGCTTCTAGCTTTGCTGTCACATTTCTTTACATGGAGAAGGGAGACAGCCAGCTTTTCCTAGGGGATTTCACCACTTTTCCCCACCAAAACTGTTTCTTTCTTTTTTTCTTTTTCTTTTTTTTTTGAGAGGTTTTTGCTATAGGGCACGTGTGCTCTCAAGAAAGACAGAGACAGAAAGACAGAAAGCGAGAAATCGCCCCCCAGGGGGTTGGCCGTGCCACAATACCTTCTCCTCCATTCTCCTCTCGGGGCCTTGGGCATGCACACACATGCCTGGCGTGAGTTTAAGCCACTGGGTCTAGGACTTGTACCATGGTCAACTACATGGGAGTCCAGCGACATAGCCACTATGCTAACTGCTGGTCCCAAAACTGTTCATTAAACTTCAGGCTCGAACACTTCTTTCAACACTATTTTCAACAGCAATCCAGGAACTCATAGGCAGTGGGCAGGAATAATTCAAAACTGCACAAGACACCATACAGACTAGTGATTGGAGAAGTACGGTGTGAATTTAGGAGCTGAATTCATTCAGGATCAGAAAGGGCAACTAGAAAGAGGTAAATCAAAAAGTGATAAGCCTGGATTAGTCGAGGTGATGAGGCATCTTTCCTATTTTTTTTTTTTTGAGAGATTTTCACTGTAGGGAGCGTGCGCTCGCCAGACAGAGAGAGAGAGACATAGAGACAGAAAGCGAGAAATCACCCCCCAGGGGGGATGGTCACGCCACAATCCCTTCTCCTCCATTCTCCTCTCGGGATCTTGGGCACTCATGCACACGCGCCCGGCGTGAGTTTTAAGCCACCGGGTCCGGGACACGAACCGCGGTCGACTACGTGGGAGTCCAGCGACATAGCCATTACGCTAACTGCTGGTTCCCGAGGCATCTTTTGCCAATTCCTTCTCTGTCTCCTCTGGTGTGTAAATGTGGGATTATCACTTCCTTCTCTCATTTCCTTAGATGATTTCATCTTTCTAGTGTCTTTCTATCCCAAGTATTTGCTGACAATTTGTATTTCCTCCTGAGCTTTCTTCTTAGTTCTAGGTTTGCATTTCCAACTGCCTACCTGACATTTCTACTTGAATGTCTTTAAAGGCTTCTCAGATGAAGCATGGCCAAAGGATCACACACTTGGCCTATCTACGCCAGCCCCCCCCCCCATTTCAGTCCTTTCAGAATCCCACCATCCTCATCTCAGTAAGTGCTACCACTATCTTTTTTCCTTTCTTTCCTTTTCTTTTTTAGAGGCTTTTGCTTGAGGGCGAGTGTGCTTGCAGGAAGAGACAGGGACATTGAGAGGGAAAGTGAGAAGTCACCTCCCAGGAGGGATGGCATGCTGTAATCCCTTCTCCTCCATTCTCCTCCTGGGATCTTGAGCATGCATGCACACGTGCCCGGTGTGAGTTTCATGTCACCAGGTCCAGGACTCAAACCGCAGTGGCCGTGTGGGAGTCCTACAGCGCAACTGCTATGCCATATGCTGGTTCTCTCACCACTGTCTTTTTGTTCGGTTGTTCAAGCCAGAAGCTGAGGAGTCATTATCGATATTTCACTCTGTCCTTACATCCTTCACTCCTCCACCTCTAACCTTTACCAAGTCTTTGTATTTCTAATTCCAAAGTCTATATTAAATCTGTCCATTTTTTCAGATGGAAACACCATCGGCTTCTAGCTTAGTTATCATCATTATCACTGAACTACTGCGGAAGATTTCTTGTTCTTCCCCATCCTGGCTACTCCCCATTTCATTTCTTACTCCCTGCCTTCCTTTTCCTCTCACTCTTTCTACTTCTCCCTTCTCTCATTGTTTCCCTGGTTATTTTCCCGACATCTCTATTTGGTACTCTCTTTTTGGTACTCCTTTTTTTCTCTTTAAACCCATCACTATTCCTCTCCTATATTTCTCCTTCCTCCTCAGAGTTGTTCTGTTCTGTTCTGTTCTGTTCTGTTCTGCTCTGTTTATTGCCACAGGATGCAGGCAGACAGAGACAGTGAGAGGGAAGGTGAGAAATCATCCCCCAGGAGCAATGGCCATGCCACAGTCCCTTCGCCTCCATTTTCCTCTTGGGCTTCTGGGCACACGCACACACACGTCCAGCATGATTTTCAAGCCACCAGATCCAGGATTTGAACTGTGGTCGGCCATGTGGCAGTTCAGTGCCTTAACCACTACGCCACCTGCTAGCCCCTAGAGAGCTCTTTTAAAACTATAAAGTTAGATTATTTCATCCCTCCGCAAGTTCTCCAGTGGCTTCCCACTGTATTTAGACCAAAGTCTCATTTCCTCAGTGTGGCCTTGTATGATGGGGCCACTGCTTAGCTCTTCAGTTTTTTTCAGCCCTAAACCACACATTCTCTACACGTCAACTCTTCCTTGGAGTGCATCAAACTCTTTTTCTGTTCAGAATATTTGGGGAGGAAAAAAAAAAGATTGTCTTTTCATAGAACTCTTCCTCCTCGTTTTCCCTGGCCAATTCCTATCATTCTTCAAATTCATGCTTTTTCTTCAGCAAAATCATTTCTAATCATTCAATCCAAGTCTAAAGTAAGCCTCTGGCGTTTTTCTCTCTTGTGGCACTCGCTTCTTTCCTTCAGAGCAATTACAGTGACTTACTATTGTGGGTTCCTTTGTGGAGTTGCTGTCTTTAGTCTTCCGCATTGGTAAAGGTCTGTGATGTCCATCACTGTATCTCTTGTCCTGGGTGCCTGCTTCAATGAGCGCTTGTTGAATAAATCAGTGAGTGTACCCCACTGAAGAAAGATATCAGCTCAGTAATGATGTAGCCTTGAAAATGAGCAAAACCAGTGGGCCATTGAGGAGACAGGTTGTACGGAGCACAGGTCCTACGTTAAATAAATTCCTGAAGACTTCCTCTAGCAAAGAGGACCGTTGAAGTCACAAATGCTGACACCCAATTAGGATGTTGCTATTTTAAAGCTTTTATTTTTCCTTATAACCATATTCATTTTTATGTTAGTAAAAGAAGCTTTCCAAATTATGTTTAATGACGTCTGAGTACTATTAGTCTTCCTATGTCTTTTTAATTTGATAAATTATACTAAATGAACTGTAATTATGCCTCATCATAGTATAAATACTAACTTTTTTGTTAAGTACTAGCTGTGTGTCAGGTGTTTTCTGTATATTATCTCATTTAATTTTTACAGCTGCATATGAAGGAAGCGGTGGTGTCTCATTCTGCAGATGAGAACTGTCCTGAGGTCATATACCAAGTGTATGCTGCAGCTGGAATTCAAACCAGATGTGTCTAATAACTTTCTACTCCATAGTGCTATCTGTATGGTAAGTTATTCAGTACACATTTAAAAAAATATGAAATATGTTTGCTATGTATTAATATTTATAGCATTTTTATTTTCTCTATTAGGCAATTAGAGAGTATCTAACTCAAAAATTTAAAACTGAAAAAATGTTTTTGTTTTCCCTGAATAAATCAGAAAGGATTATGTTCTTCTACCATCTTTCTAAATAAAGCATTAAAAACGATCAAGTATGCTTTGATACACAGAAAGACAGACATATGTACTAATATGGTAACATCTGTGTTCACAATGCTTATCTTGAAGTAAAATGGTACCGTTTCGGTTGAAAGGCCTCTGTAAATTCCTCCCCAGTCTCATCTTCTTTCCTCAGGAGTAGTAACCACTGTCCCAACTTGGGCATTTATCACAGCCCTGCAGCTTACTTATCTTGGCAACTATGTGGTGACGGAGTGCCGAGTGGCTATGTGGTACAGCGGCATAATTGTTACTATATTTCTGCCTTTTTTGCCACTCTTTCTGGTCAACTCCAAATTTGTGTGAGGATTCAGCCTTGACATTGATCTCCACCCCTCTCCCCATTCTAACACAGGAGAGGAATGAAAACATACTCAGTTTCAGAGCTACAGCTGTGGAACCAAGGGTCAGTTCAACAGGTTGGGTTTTTTCCCCATGAAAAGCCTTACTACAAATAATCTTGGGGACTTCATGACTCAAAACGTGTTTGTTCATCTATTTGCTTATTTATTTCTCCAGAGAGAGAAAAAAAAAAAAACAGAATATGGGTATCCCCAGTAGGGTCCTCATGGCATTATCCACCTCCAGTCTCAGCTGGTCTGGATCTTGGTCATGTTCTTGGAATGCTCGGGGAGGTTCCAGGACACGAACCCAGGGCCTGTGTGAGCTCAGTTGTGTCACTACTGTACGACCGTCTGACCTCTCATGACTGAAACTTTTTAAGGTGAGTGGGTTAGATCTAGTCAACTTTTAGTCAGATGTGCACAATCTATATTTCGAACATTTACCCTAGATTTTTAAAAGTTAAACATAATATTCTTAGCTTGTGATCTGTGATAAATTTGACGTGTAAAAGATTCCCAGCAGGCTTAGAATACAGTTTGGTTGTCATCATATGAGAGATTATTCTGGTGCAAATCTAAGGGAAAAGAATTCCTCAAGTTGTCAAAGAATTGAAGTAGCCTTCTTCAAAAAGACAGAGGCAAAAACAAAAGCAAAATAAGGGCATTAAGTTCCTAATTAAGATGCAGCTCCAAAAATCAAGGGTTGCTGTTTCACTATAATTGGTTATATGAAAAGAGAGAGAGAAACTTTAAGGAAGATAGAAAAGAAGAAAATAGGTTTAAAAATGAGTGAAAAGCAAGAGCTGTGGTTATAATGCAGATGGGGTGTTGGTGCTGACTAGGAAGCTCCCCTTGGGATTAAATGCCCAAGACACAAAAACAATTTGCAAGAGAGTAGTGAATGACTAGAAATATTAAAACTGGCTCTAGGAGCCAGCAGGTGGTGTGGTGGTTGAGGCACTGGACTCTCACATGGCTCACTGAAGTTTGAGTCCCGGACCTTTTGGCTTGCTGTCTCACTTTCCTGCTCTCTCTCTCTCTCTCTGTCTCTCTCTCTCTGTGTCTTTGTGAGCATATGCTCTCTATAGCAGATATTTAAAAAAAAAATTAATAAAATTAAATAATAAATGATTCTTAGGAAAAAAAAATAAGCTTCCAGGGCCTATAGTTGGTATGGTTAAGTCGCTGGACTCCCACATGGCTGACTGTGTTTTGAATCCTGGACCTGGCAGCTTGCTGTCTCACTTTCCCTATCTCTCTCTGGCAAATTAAAATAATAATAATAATAATAATAATGAAAGAATTATTTTTTTAGGGAGAGATTTTTACTCTAGGGTGTATGTACTCCTGAAGAGAGAGAGAGAGACAGAAAGCAAGAAATCACCCCTGGGGGGATGGCTACACAGTCCATTCTGCTCTTGAGATTTTGGGCACACATGCACATGCTCCCTGTGTGAGTTTGAAGCTGCTGGGTCTGGGGCTAGAACAGTGGTCAGCCATGTGGGAGTCCAGCGAAGTAACCTTTTTGCCGTCTGCTGGTTCCTAAACAAATAATTCTTTTAAAAAAAGGGCTCTGGTATCTAAAATTGAGTACTCGTTAATTAATTGGTGACTGAAATAATTTCATCAGTTTATAAAAGTTTTCCAGTAAAAGCATATATTCATATATGTAATAAGTTTGCATATATGAGGATGCATTATAGCATATAATGCTAAAGAATTCCTTTTTGAAGGTACTCCACATGGCTATCTTTTCGTCATCTTAAAAGTAGTTCTTTTTATTACATAAGAGTGATTCAGAGCACACACACACACACACACAATCACATTAAAGACTTCCTAAAGTTCAAGTGACCAAAGGTTGTGCACAAGTTTCTCATTTCTTTCATAAAAGTAGTCCTGTTCAATTTTTCATAAAAAGTGCCACTACCAAACATTCTTCTGATAGCTTCTTTGTGAATGTGTCACTGTTCTTGATTTGCACACGCCTTATAATTTAGGCTTTCTTTTGTTTTGGGTTGGCAGTTCCAACTGTTAAAGCTCTTGTCTGATTATGTGGAACTCCATTTTAATGGGAGCAGCTTCTTTGCTGCATTTTTAAAAAATGGTCTCGGAAGCATCTTACTGTGGATCTTTGTTGGGGACAAAGGATTATTTATGCTTAAGGAAAATGTATTCCCCACTGAATTAGCTCGTGGGAAGCATAACAAGCTCATTAGTAATGCTCACTTGTACTTTGGCCTTTTGCTGTGGTAGAGAGAGGGAAAAATGACATCAAAAAGGACATTCTGTTGTCTTTTGCCTTCCCACAAGAAATTGTGTTACATTATCGGGTTCTTCAGTGAGGTTTAGCCAGGTTCCACTTTGGTACCAGAAGAGATATTCCTGGAAGGAAAGTGGTATGTATAATTGGTACTATGTGTGAGTTAGATTTGAAATATCCTAGAACAACAACAACAAAAAAAAACAAAACAAACCTTTTCCTTGGAAATTGATAACATTATAGCTTTATACAATTTTTTTCCTTAGAACATTTTAGGAGCAGTTTATAATAAAAAAATAGGCTAGCTTTTAACTCTGATATAAGCAATAAAAAAATCCTACATTTTATATAGTGTATTTTATTCTTAGTATTTTTAAGTTCATCATTTTTCCCTATGAAAATGTTAAAGAATTGCATTGACTTAATTTAATTATAATAATAAAGTATTTTTTTCCTTTGTAGATTTCAAGAACAGTATTTTGGAGCTGAAATTGTTGTCACTTGTTTTTGTGTCTTTGAAAAAAATTTAAGTCATTGAATATTGTTTCTCTATTAAAATTGATGTTTATCTTATTATCTTGTTGTCTAGTAGAAGTTGTTTATGGTTAAGCTTGTGAATTTATAAAGTCCACAAGACTTTATATGATCTCTGTGAAGATCAGATGAAAGATACTTTATTTTCACTATCAATGGTTGTGATATTCACATTTTATACATATTGTGTTTATAAGGGGAAATAAAACTCTAGGAACCTTCTATATGAACTAAGTTTTGTTGTTAATTTTATTTTACTATCCAGAAGCTTTAAGAATTACCTTGATATTCGTGTTCTGCAGAAACTACATATTAAATTGTGTTTCAGGTTTTCCTCTTCCAGATGAGAAGCACGTTTATGAAGTAAGAAGCAAGGAGTGATGACTGAATTCTCTTACAGTCAAACTATTCCAAGTAGATGAAGAAGTTTTAGATGTTTAGTCAGGTGGAAGAGGAAGGCACAGTCCTAAATTTTGGAATTTGCAGTTTTTGCGGAGTGGGAAAGCAGGTATTGTCTACATGTTAATATTTTGTTCTGTTTTTCAGAAAAGCAATTTCATTTCAATATAGATGACCATGCAGCCTGCAATTCAAGTAAGTGTTTTTCTTGAAGGAAAGATTTTTAATTATGAGATTAATATGATTGAATTATAATAATTATAAAATGTTAAAAATATTCCAAAATGTTTTTATTGGACTAGTTTTTTTAAAGCACCATAATAATAGGAATGCTATATTTTGTCTTTCTGGTCCAGAAAAGATTTTAATTCTAAGCTTTCATTTGCACTGAATATTTGTAAAATTCCAAAATTCTTTAGGGTTGTTGGGTCTATCTTATTTATGCCACCCTGAGAAATGAGTTGGAATATTTTATAATTTTCCCTATCTTATAATTTAGTATGTATTTGCACTGAAAAGAATCTTCAGTGAAGACTAATATGGTTTCTGATTTTTAAAATTTAGATAATTGTACATGTGCTTTGTAAATGCCAGTACTTGGCTAGGAATTAAAATGACACATTTTAAGGAGTGCTCTTTTGGTTAGTTTTTTTGGTGACAGGGAGACTAGCTAGGGATGATGAGACAAAGCAGAATAATCTTATATGTGAATGATTTCTGGAATTGGTGTTTGTAATATTGTTCTTATATCCTTTAAATTTTTCTTTTTTTGGTAAATAGAATGTGATCGAATGTTACTTAAGGATAAAAGTTACATTGAAGGTCTATCTAGAAAGATATAAGCAGCTGATAATAAAATTTGCCTTGGAATGTAAGAACGTTAAAGTCAATCAGATTTTGGTTTTGATCCTGATTCTCTTGCTGTGATTGTGAGATTCTGGCAAGTTATTTTACTTCCTTGAGTCTCTGCTTTTCAACTTCTAAGGTGAGGCTAATAGTTCTTATTTTGTTGGGTAGTTGTGAGGAATCAATGAGATGATATGTGCAAAGGGCCTACTAAAGTGTATATTGCCTGGTAGGCACTTCAGAGCTGTGGTTGTACCATTGGCACAATAGAAGTATCCAGATATGCAGCCAGCAGGTGGCGTGGCAGTGAAGGTGCTGGATTTCCACGTGGCCTACCATGGTTTGGTTTTCAGATTAGGTGGCTTGAAAATCATGCGGGGCAGGGCCAGCAGGTGGCATAGTAGTTAAGGTGCTGGACTCCCACATGGTTGAGTGTGGTTTGAGTTCCAGACCTGGTGGCTTGAAACACTGGGCACATGTGTGTTCTTACCCAAAATCCCAAGAGGAGAATGGAGGAAAAGGGATTCCGGTGTGGCCATCCTGCTGGGGGGTGAGGGGGGGAGAGTGATTTCTCTCTTTCTATTTCTCTGTCTCTCTGGCAAGTATATGCACTCTATAGCAAAAATCTTCCTAAAAATAAATAAATAAATAAGAAAGAAAGAAAACCATGCCAGGTGTGTGTATGTACATGCATGTCTAAAATCCCAGGAAGAGAATGGAGAAGGGATTGTGATGTGGCCATTCCCCCTGGAGAGTGATTTTTAACTTTCTCTCTCTCTGTCTGTATCCAGGGAGTGTATGTGCTCTATGGCAAAAAGTTAAAAAAAAAAATCAATCCAAATATAAAAATGGAGATATATTGTAATGGACGTCTGTCTTTTCCCTCCTCCTTCTTCCCTCCCTTTTTTTCTCTCTTTCCCCCCTCCTCCCTCTTCCTTCCTCTCTTTTCTTCCTTCCTTCATTTCGTCTTTCTTGCTAAGAGAGACTTCATTAAAAATAACATTAAATGATAGCTTAGAGAAGATCATTTATCAGATGGTAAAGAAAAACCTCGAATGTGATCCTGCTTGTACACCTTCCTGTGCTTTGCAGCTATGCCATTCTACTCTGCTCATAAAAAATCACATCATATTGTTTTCCTTTGGGGACTTGGGAGTCCATGATGGTCTACTTTAATCCCCTTTGGGTCCTCTCACACGCACCTTTGGTAACTCTGTAATTACTCAAAATTTGATATGATTTCTTCTGTTCATTCCCTTTTATCCAAAACTCAGAAATGTCATTAGTTTCTTGTCAATTATGTTTTTTGTGTTCTTATAGAGAGCTTTTTATCATTGCCACATTGACAGGTTTTTCTTGTTTCCACACTAATGGCCCTGAATGATTTTTAACTTGGTGATTTTTTTCCCCACAATTCTTGTTTTATGGTCCCAGGAAACCTTCTGTGATTAGATTCCAGATTCAGCTTATTGATTCTTCTCCAAGAGTACCCTTGACATTTCTCATGGAGGGTTTTGCTTCTCTCCCTGCTGAATTTTGAGAACTTTCCAAGATTTTTCACCTCCTTCTCTGCTAATTATATTAGACAGTTACTTAGCTCTTCATAAAAGACTTGCAGAGAAGATCCATTTAGAAATAATGGCCGTCAGTGGGTGCGTTATTAATTTAATACATTAAAATCTTCCTTGATCCTCTTCTGTGACCCTCCTTCTGATGAGTGCACAAGGTCCAAAGTCAATGAACAGTACTTTCTAACCTCTTTGGGGTCATAGTCCCCTTCAGGAATCTGATGGAAGTGATGAACTCTCTGACTAAAGGCCCATTGGTACCTAGACAGAAACTTACGCCTAAATGTAAGCAGGTTTGTGTACCAAGACTGCCTGCGGGTCAAGAATCTCTACAATGACACAGCTTTTGGCATGTCTCAGAACACCCTTTGTACGTGCATTTTTTGGTTATTAGCATCTAATTTTCACCTGAATATGCTGTTGACTAGCCCAGGTTATTATAGGATCTTCTGCTTATAATCATAGGAAAATCCAGCATGTAGGTACTCTTCTCTCTAATGTGACAGAAAGTGAGAGTGACTTTTATTAATGGTTTTTCTCCATTTGCACACAATTTTTTTTTCAAAACCACCTTCTTAACTCATGCTTATCTTTTCTTGACAAAGGTTTATACTTGCTCTACCTTTTTTTTTTTCAGCTAAAAGAGCATATTCCTTTGCCTGTCAAATATGATTGACTCTAAGGTACATTTTGATTTTGATGGTACAGAGTAATTTAGTAATATCTGTTTCTCAATTGTTCAACAGATACCGGGTTGTCTGGAAAGTCATGATGCAGTTTTACACAGAAAAATACATCATGACTTCTTCAACAACCTAGTATTTTTGACTGAATACTGTACGCTATTATACTGAGTTCTGGATTATAAGCAGAAAGAAGACATGTTTATAGAGGAAAGAATTAGATAGTAAATTTTTGCTATTCTTCATTTGAAATTTTAAGAGAGTTAAAAGAAATAGATAACATCTTTTTCCAAAACCTTTATTGAATCCTTGTATATTTAAGAATTAATTCCCCAATCCCTATCCTAAATTCCTAACATAATGTCTCTCAAATAATTTATATTTCATTTTGTCTTTGGGTATCTTTATTTGGTTTCACTACTTCTCCATGCTTCTGTATTTATTAGTTTTAATTCTTTTGAGACTTAAAAAAATGTATTTCTTTCTCATTATTGGAGATTAGAAGTAGGTTTTTCTGTTTGGTTTTGCTTCTTCTTTGTTGTTGTTTTCCTCCAGGGTTTATCTGGATTATATGTGTTGCTGTAGTGTTTGCTTTGTTGTATAAACACTTTCCTCAAATGAACCTCAATAAATTGAGCATATTGCAAGTGGAAATGATCTATATTTAAAAACTGAGAACTAGAGTCCTGTGGTATCACCTTTACTTATAACTGTTTTTTAAAATTTTTTTTAAACTTATTACAGATACACACCTACAGAATGGTTGATGAGTAAAATGCATATGGGGCCAGCAGGTGGTGTGGTAGTTAAAGACACTGGATTCCCACATGATCGAGTGTGGGTTCGAGTCCTGGACCTGGTGGCTTACTGTCTTGTTCTCCCTTTCTCTCTTTCTCTGTCTCTGTCTGGTCAAATTACAAATAGAGAACAATAACAAATGGAATTAAATAAGTCTTTAAAAAAATAGTGTAATGCATAGAAATTTGTTTTTCCAAAACATTTAGAAGCAAGTGGCCAGCCTAATGTCTCACCACCTCTGAGTATTCTAATGTCTATTTCTTGAAAACAAGTACATCTTCCTATACCACCATAATGAAATAATCGGAATCAAGATTTTAACATTGGTATAGTACTTCCATTTAATCCTCAGGCCACGTTAAAGTGTTTCCAGTTGTCCTAATAATATTTAGTTCAGAAGTTGTCCTGTCTCCTCGGTCTTTCTCAATCTGGAACAGCATCTTAGTCTTTGCTTATCTTTAATGACCTTGACACTTAAACATTACAGATCCAGCACTTTGTAGAATGTCCTACAATTTAGTTTTCCTGATTTTTATTCTCATGGTTAGATTCAGGTTATACATACATCTTTGCAGGAATATCACAGGAGGATACTGTGTTTGTCTCTTTGCAGCCCATCTGATGACAGATCATTTTGATTTGTCCCATTATTGATGGTATTCACAGTCACCACTTGGTTACAATGCTGTCAGGTTTATCCACTGTAAAATGACTCCATTTCTCTTCTGTAATAATGAGTATTTTCTGTGTCAGTACTTTGGACCTATATAAAAATCCCATTCCTTGTCAAAATTTTAATTTATTTACTTATTTATTTCTGCATGATTTCATAGTTGTCTGTTTTACTCAGTGTGGTATAATCGTTCCTATCATTCCTATATAAAAATCCTATTCCTTGTCAAAATTTTAGTTTATTCATTTATTTATTTCTGCATGGACTCATAGTTGTCTGTTTTATTCGATGTGATACAATCCATTCCTATTATCACTTACTTATTTTGATGCTCAAACTGCCCTCAATTTGGCCAATAGATGTTTCTGCAGGCTGGCTTCTGTTTGCTTTGAACACATTCTTTCAGTTATTTATTTATTTATTTTTTGAGTGTTAATTTGCTTTCTGGTAAAAGATATTTCAGTCTAACACTACAGGATTCATTCTGATTTTCTTTCTTTCCGTATTTGTATCTCTCCTCTGGCAGTGAGAAAACTGGCTCCCATTTGACACATTCTCATTCCTACAGGATTCATTCTGATTTTCTTTCTTTCCATATTTGTATCTCTCCTCAGGCAGTGAGAAAACTGTCTCCCATTTGACACATTCTCATTTGTGTAATCAAATCACTGCTGAGCCCTCCTGAGGCAGATGCTTAGCTCACTGGGACTCTGCTATGGTTTGAATGTGTCCACCCAAAAAAATTCATGTGTTAAAATTTGGTGAGCCATTATAAGAGAGGGTGGAGTCTTAATCTGATTATGGTATTGACAGGTGAGGCCTTTGGAAAGCGATTAGGCATCAGGGTATGGCCCCATGATTGAGTCCTGGTGGGTTTGCAAGGAGAGGAAATGAGATAGACAGAGACACACTCTGCTCTGCTCAAGTTCCTGACCAGTGTCATCTATCAGTAAGAAGACCCTCACCAAGCACAGCCCCTCCATCTCAGACATGTAAACTATTAATATGAACCAAATAAATGTCTATTTCCATAAATTACTTCGGTTCAGATATTTTTGTTATCAGCAACAGAATGGATTAGAACAGACTCAGACACCCTCTAGTGGGACGGTCCACCTATACCCATGGTGGATGCCCTCCCTCACCACGCTCTGTCTGACACTTCACTCATGGCTGTCGCCGTATGTGGAGGCCTTCTCACCTCACTCAAGCTCTGACCTTCCTTCCCAGCCTCCTCTCTGCAGGAACCTCCTACTCACTTCACTGGGAGTCTGAAAATACCTCTTCCTACTTTGTTCACAGAGGGAAGAACAAGGGCTGTTTATACCTTTTATAAAAAGTGACTTCATAGTGACTTGATTGCTTCTTTCAACGTTTGAGAACATGATAGTCTTTTCTATAAATAGTCTTATATTAAATCATATTTAATTGTATTTCAAAATTTGCAAGTGTTGGTTTGATAGTATGCTTATGTCATTTTTTATTCTAAGCTAGGGATTGGTCAGATGGTAAATATTTTAGGTTTGTGGACCAATGGACAAGATCAAAACCATTAAATAGGTACTTATATAACAACCATTTTAAAATGCAAAAACCCTTTCTAACTTGTGGTCATAAACAATCAGGTGACAGACCAGATTTGCCCCATAGACTAATTTTCTACTTCCTTGTTTTAAATTAAAGTACTTAAGGATTCATTCATTCTTTTTTTTATATAATACCATTACTGTAACTTAAAATTTCTCAAAATGCCATTTATACATTCAGTCATTTCTTTATCCACTCATTCAACAAATGCTTATTGAATCTCTGCTCTCTGCTGGACTCAATGCCAGATGCTACAGAGATGTATGCTATAAGGCACGTTTCACCATTTTATAGCTAAGATGGTAAGACTCTGGTCAAGTAACTTATTAAATTTATTCTACTAGCAAGTGAGGAAAAATAATATTTGTTGAATTTTATTATTTTGCCTTGATAGTAGAATCTATTCATTAATTAGAGGTTCACTTACCTTGTCCACATATTGAATATTGAAAACAACGGAAGCATCTAGGCTAATAGAATGCTTCTAATCGGCTTATTTTCTGTGAGCTGCTGAAGTTTTACATATTATAGATGGTTTGCTCTTCAGCATTTAAGGATAGATGTGGATTATGATGGCTTTTAATAAAGGTGCATTCATTCATTCCAATCGATGTTTTCTCCAGGTATGGTTTGGAGAAGATCTGCCTCTAAGTCCGCGGAGTCCCCTGACTCCCAGACATGGACCAGGCTTGGCCGATGTTTGTCAGTATGATGAGTGGATAGCTGTGAGGCATGAAGCGACTCTGTTGCCTATGCAGGAAGACCTGTCAATTTGGTTATCTGGATTATTAGGTAAGGCTTGAAAAGATACCCTAAATTGTATTCTCTTACTCAATAAATATTTGTTGAGAGCCCTTCTCTTTGTTAAGGAGTGGTTGTTCTAGATGCCACAAATACTCTTTATTTACTATAAAATATTTCATGTCATTGTTCTCACTAAGCTTGCATAATAGTTGAGGAGGTAACACTGATTTACTCTGAACCTTGGGTCTTGAATAGTAAGAAACTGGAGATTTTAACGGAAAAGGTCAGTAAGCTTTAGATAATCAACATTTTTATTGTTAATATTAAAATCTTTTTAAAAAATAGTATACTAGATCTAATTGGAGCCAGCAGGTGATATGAAGGTTAAGGCACTGGATCTCACTGGCCCAGCCCCATGGTTTGAATCCCAGACCTGGTGGTTTGAGACTCATGCTAAGCACATGTGCATGCATGCCCAAAATCCTGAGAAGAAAGTGGAGAAGGGATTGCGGCATGACCGTCTTCCCTGTGGAGTGATTTCTCACTTTCCCTTTGTCTCTTGTGAGTCCACATATCCTACAAGTAAACAAAAAAAAGTATATAGATCTAATTTTATTTTAGTTTTTACTGATTTTTCTCACCTTATAGGGTATGAGATTTAGTTAAAATGGTTACTACTTCTGAGGCATTGCAGAGTAGGGGCACATGAAACCTGGAAGGAAAGGCCAGGTTGTAGAATATCTGGCATCTTATTTCTTTGCTCTGTTAGAGAATATGATGTGTGCTGAACTTGCACTCCAGAAAACAAAAGCAAACAATTTAAATACAGAATTTAATGTAGCATTCTAAAGTTTTCATGAGAAGAATATCCTGCAGATGATCTGTGGCCCTCCCAAGATAATTAAACACATACAAATGCTCACTCTAGTAGTCTGATATCAGTTTGGTGATTTGGATAATTTTTAAAGTTTATTATATAATAATAATAGTTTTAAAGATGGTAGTTTGGAAGTGAAAAGTTGGTATTCCCTGAGTATTTATTGTTGTATTATGTTTAATTTTAAAATTGCAGCAAAATCCATCTTATTTATGAAGAATCTTTTTATTCAACCAATATTAATATGTAGTGAATTTATTTCATTTGAAGTGTGATTAAAATAGATGTCAGTTTTCTTCTTTTTTTTTCTGTAATTTTACATCATAGATATTTTTGTTTTGGTTGTCTTAACTTAACCTGACATTATTTGCCGTTTTAACTGTACCTTCTAATAGTGGACATGTGTGAGTCTGATCTTTATCTAGTGTTTCAACTGTGATCTGATTCCATCTAAATAAATTTAAAGCATATTATTTGAATTTAATATTTCTAGAAGGATCTTAATTTTGAAACATAATTTTAGGTATTGAAATTAAGGCAGAGAAATTGTTGGAAGAACTTGACAATGGAGTACTATTGTGCCAACTGATTGATGTTCTTCAAAACATGGTGAAAACATACAATTCTGAAGAACCAGAGGTAAGTCATGGTTTTACAGTAGCGATTTTATATCTTGGTACATATTGTTGATATGTGTTTCTTATCATCTCTACAAGTTTATAAACTTGCGCCCCACTGGCTGTGAGATCTTAAATCATTTATGTAACTCTTTTGTGCCTCTACAAAAGTGTTCTCATTTGCAAACTGGAGATTTGAAAACATTTTTAAATTTACATATAATGACTATACATATTTGTGGGGATACAATAGATTTTGTAGTACAACAACTCAGTGTGTAATGACTCATTCAGAAACATTAGTATACCCATCATTCCAGCCATGTAACATCACTTCATCTTGGGAACATTCAAAATCTTCTCCTTTAGTTACTTTGAGATACATAGCAAGTTGTCGCCATCTATATTCTCCCTGCTCTATTTTTAAAAATTTTACTGTTTTATTTATATTTAATCACTGTACATCTTTACAGTATATAACATGCTTTTTTTTCTAGCATGAATATGGTGCATATTTGTCAAGTCAAAGACATTGCTATATACATTATCATCAGATAGCTTCATTTTTGTGCCTATTGAATATGTTGCTTTTTCCCTGACCCCCTTCCTCCCACCTCAATTCCTCACCTCTTATCACTCCCCCATACTATCTCTAATATCTACAGTTGCCTTTTCTGCTATTATGTCCTTTAATCCTTCAGTTTCTGCTATAGAGTATAGGTATTTGGTACATATTGAGCATCCCACTGTATTTTACAATACTAGAAATTGTTCTTCCTATCTATCTGCAATTTTATTTTTATTAATCAGCATCCTTCTTTACTCCTCTCTACCCAGCCTCTAGAAGTCATTCTTTACCATCTATGTCTTTCAGGTCACTTTAAAAAACCTACGTATGAGGGAGAACCTGTGGTATTTCTTTTTCTGTGCCTGGATTATTTCACTTAAGATGATATCCTTCAGGCTAACCCATTTAACAATTAATGACAGGGTTTGCCTTGTTTAATGGCTGGGTACTATTCCTTTGTGTGTGTGTATGTGTATATATGTGTCTGTATATGTACATATGTACATGTATACATGTACACACACTGTACACGCCCTACATTTTTCTTTCTTCATTCATCAGTTGATGTATACTTAGGTTTCTTTCATATCTTGGCTATTGTATATTTAACAGCCATTTTTTTTGCTCTGGTGTAATATGGATGACGTTTTCTCCAGTTTCTAATAATTTTCTCATTTTCTTTTGAATGGTCAGTACTATTTATCTCTTTTAGTATTGTGGTCACCACTAGTTAATTGATCTCTAAAAAGTTCTAGTTCATTTCTAAACTGTTTTTCTTCTGCGCTTCTTTGAGAATCTAGGTTTTTCCTAAACTTCTCCAAATTTCTGCCAATTTTACAGTTCCAAAGTCATTTCCATATTTTCAGATATCTGTAGCAATACAGTTTTGTTGACTACACCAATTTCTCTCTTAGTCTATTATTACATCACTTATAGAAATTCCTGACACTGGGTGAATTTATAACTTATTTGATTCACGATCTGGCCTTTTGGGATGTCCAGTGGAATCACAGATGGTGGAGGATAGGATCCTGAATATATCTTGGGATATATAATGCTATTTCTAGAAATTTATTATAAGAAAATAACTATAACTTCTTGAAGATGATAGTACAGAAAAAGTGAAGAACAACCTAAATGTTCACTAATAAGGAGGTTGTTAAAAAATTAATTATGGTACTTAAACACATTGGAATATTATACATTCATTAGACATTATTACTTAAATCTGTTATTTTCTACACTATAAGATGCCTACAACCTGTTGTTAAGTGAACATGAGCACATACATTCACACGAGTCAAATTTAAACTAGTGTGTTTATGTGACATTTTGTAGGTATAGATAGGTGCAGATGTCTTACCAAAGTGTAGGTGAGAGGATTTCAGTCGATACTATCCATGTCTGTATTTTGCTGTATTGTTTGCTTTTTTATTTTCTTGGCATAGTCATATATTCTGTATTCAGTTACAAAAAAATTGACAAGGCTATGTTAGTTCTGAAAAATAATAGCAACAGGAAGGATATAGTAGGAACTGGTAATAGTGGTTATCTCTAGGGAGAGAGGGGAACTGAGGGGGAGAAGTGGGGGAAAGACTGTACTTACTGCATGAAAAAAATATATTCACTAATGTTTTTTCAAGGAAAAAGTATTAAACAAAACAAAACCCTCTCACTTC